GACTGAGCCACCCAGGCGCCCCGTTACCTTTTTTCAATTAGCTCTACTGTTGAAGCAGTCCTCCTTGGAACCTTGGCCTTCCCCTCCTTGGATCTGAGCTAAAGGAGATTTCAGGGACGGTTCCTGGAGGAAGCACACAGAAACACCCCTTTGGGACCTCCCCATCCCCCACGTGCCACCTCACCCTTCCAAAAAGCCACAGGAGCATGTTTGAGAAAAGTTAAGCTGTTTTATTTCACAGGATAGCTCCACGTCAAACCAGCAGGCACCATCAGAATACGCAACAGAGGATCCAGTCAGACACTCTATAGGACGGGCGTTTGGTTGTTAAGGTAGAGAAACGATATCCGGAAGAGGGCGACACTTATCATCACATGGGGACAGGCAACCAGCAATTTCCTAGGGTTGTTTTCGTGGGTTTTTTTTTTTTTTTTTCCTGACACAGTCTGGGGAGGAAGGAAACCAAAAGAAACTAAACTGACCAGCCACTCTGAAGCAATCAGAACCAAATCTATTGCCAAACCGTGTAAACAGTCACACTGCCCGGAACTAGTCTGGGCCGAACTCTAGCCAGAATCTACTTCCATCTAAGGAAGGCCAAGTGCACTCTGGTTGCTCTGGTTCAAGGAACAGCTTTGTTATTTGCCTGGGACAGTTCACACAGGAAGGAGGTGTCGGCAAGGGGCAGCGGTGGCCATTCGGCCAGTCCCAGAGGATGGGACAGTGGGACGCTTGGCAGACCGACCTCAGAGAAGCCAGGAGGAGTCCGGCACGGCAGCGAAGTCCCTTCTCTCGGCTCCCCCAGGGCGGCTTTGGGTATGTGGGGATTTCTCTCCACGGCTGCTCCGAAGAGAGGAGGCCCCAGAGAACCGGGGAAGTTGACATGAAACGTCAGCATTAGCTCTGCATAGCAGAAAATCAGCTAAGCAACACCTCGCTCACCCCTTCCTGCCTTGTCCTCCCCGCCCGTCCTCCCGAGCCCCACAAGGGTCCCCTGCCAGGGTTGGGAGCCAGCCATTCTTCTTTCTGGGATTCTCAGGAGAATGAGGCATTTGCTCAAGTGTGGAACCATCTGGACGTGTGAAAAGTTAGGAATAGAAAGACTGAGAGAAAGAACCATCACATTAGTCCTTGTGGTTTTCCATCGGCCGCGGACGTGTGCTGAGTGCTAAGGAGCAACCAGGCCCCAGAAGTCCTCTGCATCCATGCCTCCTGAATGAGAAAAGTATACCCAACAAGGCACTCCAAGGGACTCCAGCAGAGAAGCCGGCCCCACGTAAAGGCCCTTCCCCTCACTGGCTCCCCTTTGTGTACCACAACCCAGTTCTGAAGTGTTTATAAGGCAGATCTCTGAGCTGCTACTTCCAGCCGGGCGCCAAACGCTGGCCCCGTTTCCCTGCGTCTCTTCCCATTCGGATTTCTTCGTTGAATAGAAACCTTTCATCCCTTGGGAATCCATTTCTCTCCTGCCTCTTGGCCTGGTGACCTCAGAGAAAAGACTCCCAAGTCTAATTCCCAAGCTTACAATTCCCTCCAGTTGTGTGCTCTGTCCGGGGTTCAAAAGGCGCTTCAAGGTGAGAAATCGTTAGCACTGAAAACAAGGAAAGGCAAGAAGTTTTCATAGAATCCCACAGCTCAGAGCAGCTCTTTAAGAGGAAAGGGGAATAAAGGGAGAGAGGGAGAGTGGGGTAGGAAGCACGGCTTGTTCTCAATTTTATCGGAGAAAGGTCTTTAGCGGCGGCTGGGCCCCAGGGCCCAGGAAACTAGACCAGGAATGAATTGTCTTTGGTCAGTTTTAAATGAACATCTTGCTGGTTCATTCCTAAAACAGACTAAAAATCGGTTACACATAAAGACAAAAGGCTTGACCTCAGGGTAAGTCGAAGGTTAAGAAAAGAAATCATTCTGTGAAGAAAAAAAATAAAATGCCCGTTATCAACGAACTGATCAGTATAGCTCTCAGTAATGGCGATGAACAAGTAGGTAAACACCACTCCCCCTTGTACAATTGGTTATATTGAGGACTACTAACTAGGTTTACTACATTTCCCCCACACTCACTGTACAGTTAGGTTTCTGGTATTTGTTTTTTTTACATTGATCTATCTACTAGGTGCAAAGATTTGGTGAGTGGCATTGGCTATAATTTAATCGTAGCCTTTTTAAAAATTACAGTTTCACATTTTAACAGTTACTTTCCAGCATTTAAGCAAATACAGCAATATATAGTGGACTAACACAGGCAGGAGTCAGGAAGAGAATGCCAATGCTCAGTGACCGTGGATGGGACAGGATGCGTGTGGAGGGTGGTGGAGACATGCATAGTGGCCAGATGAGGGAGTAGGGGGGGAGCGCAGGAAAGGATTTTTCCATTTGGTTCTGCGTCAAGGGTCAGATCTGGGGCTGGATGAGTAGGGCTTCCCTAAATGTGAACTCATCAGCCGTTTCCCAGTGGAAAAATAGGTGCTTAAAAAAAAACAGCTAAGGCTCTGCCTTCAGGTAATTTGGTTAAGGGCAGATCCATTTTCAGTAGGGAAAAATGCAGTCAATTCATGGGAAAACCCACACAGTCTGACTGGTGTTCTATGTATCAGGCAACAGATTTGTCAACTCAGATTTTCGCTTTTCATCTGGTAGTCATGGCAAAGAATGTGACATCTGGCACAGGAGGCTACTGCATTTAAGGTCTGGGGGTATCTCTGGGGTAGAAATGAGAAGCCTGTGTCCTGGCTGGACGGCATAGTGTCCTTGCAGGTAAACGTCTGACACAGCCCTTGCTCTCGGCCATCCATTAAATCTTGGGCACGTCACAGCACATCCCAAGGCCTTGCTTTCTTTTTTAAGCTGTAAAATGGGGATGTCGTCATCTGCTCAAAGACAGAGGGGCTCCTAACTCGTTCTGAGGCTCTTTCATTTCCGGGAGCTCAAACAGAATGGTTCGTTTTAGGCTAAACAAGGAAAGTTTGTCATTGACCTCTCTCTGGCACTCTTTGTGCCCTTTCTCGATTTTTCCACTGAGTGTGCAAACTGCCAATCCCTCCGACAAGACAGAACAGCTTAGCACTCCTACACACCCAGGTATTAGTGATTTAATAGGCCCCTCCCCCTGGGGCATATTTACCTTTTTATGGAGGACCAGAAGAGATGGGAAAACTTAATCCAGTGGGGTGAAATGGTAATGACAGAATTTCAAGCATCAATAGGTAGTATCTCTGTAGGGCTGTGCTTCAGGGCTCTTAAGAAACTGTTAGGAAAATTCCACTGCCCAGTTCTCAAATGCCATTAGGAGACTTCAAAAGGAAGATCCTGGATGGGTTTTGATCTAAAAGACTTACCTTACTAATGATAATAAAAAGAGCAATCGTGTTGGCACAGTGCTTTCCAGCTTACAGAACCTGCTCATTTACATTTTACCTTTGTTACCTTCATTTTATGGAGCAGGAAACTGGGGCTCAATGAGGTGGAGTGACATGCCCCAAGTCCCACAGCTCCTATGGGGTGGGGGCTGGGAAGCAAACACAGGACTTTTGACTCCAAACCACAGCCATGGAGATACACTCAGAGGCCTTGGGAGAAAGAGAGAAAGCTTGAGAACAGTAAGGAGACCCTTGGCTTGGAATGAGGGGATGAATAAAAGTGGTCCCCATAGGATCTGATCCACCTGTGTTCCATTAGCCAGAAACAGCCTATCTCTGGAAAATGAAAAGATCAAAAGAGGAAGTAAAATGGAACAAGAGTGATCCAGAAGGCCTTTTCCCAGCTGAGAGGGAGAAGTCTAGCTCCTAATTCCTAAAAGTCACTCACCTCACTTCTATCACCATATTTGCAATTACATTAAATGCTCTGGAGGTGGTGGGGGGAGCGTGGGGGGGGGACAGGGGTTGAGAAGGGAAGGGAAGGGAAGGGAGAGAGGGAAGCCATTTCACCTGCATAAACTCAACCGGAGTGTTTTCTGGGACGGAAAGTGCCAAGGATGGCCCCCCTCTGGCCCCTGCTGAGAGGCTCCTGGGCCTCATGCAGGAGGGCACCAGCCAAAGTGGGTCACGGACTGATTTTAAATTAAAATGATATGACTGAAAGCCTCCTTGCCTGTTTAGTTCCAGATCTGACACAGTATAATTAGTAGAAAGAAGAAAAGAAAAAATTAAATATTTTGAAAATGGTATAAGTTAAACCTCTATAGTTACCACAGATTTATTCCTACAGCGTGTCTAGGTTTTGAAGTGTTCCACACCACTGTTTTTGTTTTTCCTTTTTCCCAACCACACAGAACACTGTGCTACGATGGGGCTTAGGTTCTCACTACCCCCTTTTTCTACATACAAACACAAGGATGCTGTGGTCAGGGGCCATCTCGCCAACATCCTCCCGTGCCTTCGGGGGTACAGTTGGCCCTCGGCCTCAGGGTGGAAAGGCAGGGTCTCTGGGGTGGACGGGGCGGGGGGGTGTTCTGTGAAGGGTTCCCCACCTCTAGGAGCAGCCTGCTTGGGGGTACCGCCTGCCCCACCCTTCCGTTAGGGGCAGACTGTTCTGGAAGGCCACGACTTCTGGAGACAGTGGGAGACTATTGTGTGTTTTTCTGCAGGTTAGTGGTGTATTGCTTCGTTCGAAGTCACTGAGGCCTCTAAATTCTCCCAGAAAGGTCCCTGTAAGTCCCACCAAGTAACTCAGCAGGAGGTGTTTGGTGGCATGGGTCTGAGGTAAATCTAAGTTTCATAAAAAGAAAAAAGGAGATCCTATATACATTTAGTCATGTGTCCAGATCTAGTATATGTATATAGATGCATAAATATATATATATACACACACCGACACATACATGTATGTGTGTATATATGCACACATATATATACACACATATTTATGTATGCAGAGAGAATGTCGAGAGAATAATTTTCCAGTGACCATAGGCGGGGAAGCCGTCGAACATTTTGGCCCAAGCTGAGGAGATGCTCTAGTGGGGCCTCCTGCCCTCCCCACCCCCCCCCCCGCCCGGGGTCCCTGCTCGCACACGGGAGGTCTGTGGGATTCACATGGCTGAATACCAGCTGCGGCCAGCGCCCGGGCCTCTGCGCTGCACAGACGCGCTTCCAGGCGACCTTCTGGTCCCTGCCCGCCAAGGCCAGGAGCCCGTGGCAAGGCCGCGGAGGTCACAGAGGCCCCCCTCAGCCGTGGCGGCGCCGCCCCGTGCTGTAGGTCACATGGTGCCCGACTTGTCCGCGGAGCTGTTGGGGAACATCTTCTCGGTGGGCGTCACGGCCGGGCTGCCCACGCCCGAGCTGCTGCTGCTGCTGGAGCGATGCTGCACCACCGGCCGCACGGGCCGCATGGGGGGCGGGCGCAGCTGCGCGCCGGCCAGACGCGCCGACAGGGCAGGCTTGAACGTGGTCATCATCTCGGTGGACGAGCTGCTACTGCGGCGCATGGCGGCGTCCGGGTCGCGGATGACGATGGTGTGCAGGGGGCTGGCGGGCTCGGAGCTGATGGGGCCCGGCGGGTTCTTCAGGGGCTCCAGGGTGTCCAGCACCACATCTGGCGCCTGCTTGACCGTGTTCTGTCTCTCGAGTTCCCGCAACTCGTGCAGAGCCGTGCTCATGGTCTTCTCGATGTCCTGCCCACGGAAAGAGCTCTGGTCAGCACAGGGGCCGGAGGCCTGGCCTCCAGGCCTGCCCCAGCTGCTAATCGGCCTATGGGCTTCGTACAGAGGCACACGAGCCTCATGCCTGGGATGGAGATGAAATCTCCAGGGTATCCTACGACCAACTGAGGGAATCCGTGTGGGCATCACCTGCACACTTGCCTGCACAGGTAGCAGACTGCAATGAGGGCGGACTACTGGTCGAGAAGGTCGGCTCTGGAATCAGACAGGCATGGGTTCGAATCCTGACTCTGCCACTTCCTTGCTATGTCACTTTGGACAAGTTACCTCACCTCTCTGAGCCTCAGAATCCTCATTGGTGAACACAGATCATGATAACACGCCCTCAGGGGGCTGATGAGTGTGTTAAATGATACGGTCCCTGTGAAGAGGTTCCCATGGCCCCTGACACATAGTAGGCACTCACAAATAATAATGGCAGTAACAATGGTAATAAGAGAGCACCAATCCAAGCCCTTTCCTTTCGTAGCTCATTTAATCCTCACACTTACAAGGTAGGAACTACCATTATGCTCATTTCACACGTGAGAAAATGGAAGCTCAGCCTGGTTAAGTAACTTGCCCAAGGTCACACAGCTAGTTAGTAACACAGCCCAAGTCTCAACCTAGAGCCCAGGCCCCTAGCCGTTATTGTTATTTTTTAAAAATTATTTATTTATTTAAGTAGTCTCTACCCCCAATGTGGGGCTCGAACTCAACCTGGAGATCAAGAGTTGTACGTTCTTCTGACTGAGCCTGCAAAGCACTCCACCATTATGGTTATTTAAAAAAAAATCCTTGTCCATAGAAAAATTCCTTGGTGGTTATATATTAGAATGTCCACAAAGTTCACACCAGAATAATGCGACTGTCACTTTCTTCTCTGTATTGTAATCAGAAAAGTTTGCTTTTTAAAAAATGTAAATTTTAAAAAGCAACAAAACCTCTCATTTGCCTATGCAACTCCTGGAGATTAAGAGCTCACCAGTAATGAGAGCATTTTGGATGACAGAGAGAGCCGTGAAGGCAGTCCAGGACCCGGGAGCAGCGGGGCCCATCAGGTCAGCCTGGGTGGGGGCTCATCATTCCACCTTCCCAGGGCTTCTGTTCCTCCTCAAGCCGGAAGGGGGCGCTGCAGCTGGAAGTCAGCATTCAAACCAGGAGCCCTGGGCTATGGCAAAAGGCCTGGATTTTTCAGCGGAAAGACTCCTCTGCCATTTGCTGGCTGTGTAACCTTGGACACGTCTCAGGCCCTCTGCCCCATGCTTTGCTTCTCTGGTGAAAGCCCCTACACTCACCGTGAAGATGGGATGAGAGAATGGATGTGATGGAGCTTTGTGAACTGCCAGGCAGTGGTTTCACACTCCCTTGAGCCAGAGCCCCTGGCTCACACAGCTATCACAGGGATGCCTCCATACAAATGGGGCACAGGGAGCCTCTCAGGCTGAGCTAGGCCACAGCCCAAGCGACCCGGCCGCTGAGGGGACAACAGGGGATATTGCTTAAAACCGCTACTAGAAGGCGTGGTGTACAACCTCCAGTGACCGTGAGCACTCTTAAGACACATTTGCTTTTCTGCCCTGAGGCAAACCCAAAAAAACGGCAAGTCTGGTCACGCTGATGCAGTTGGAGCCTGGAGATGTCCTGCCGGCCCCTTTCCGCAGCCGTGGCCTCCTTTACTCTCTCTCCTCCCCAGCCCACAGGCGGCCTCCTGCCTGCCCTGAGCCCCCACAACAGGCTCCAATCTGGCACAGGCAGGGTCCCTGCCTATCCCTTTTGCTTTGTTAAGAGACTATGGGATGTCTGGTCAACGGCGAATAGTAGCTTTTATGCTTCTTCATGACATTTGATCCCTTGCCCAGAACACTAGCTACTTTAAGAATGCGATTTTTGTGCTTTTATCCAAAGGATTAGCTGTGGGGGACCTTCTATATGAGCGGAGAGATGGCAATCCTCTCCCCATCTTTACTATATCCCAGCCCGGCAGTGATAATGCCTGCTTTCCATTTCCCGTTCCGCTTAGATGAAGTCCCCAGTGGACTTCACTGCTCTCTCTGCAATGCTGCAGCATGAACTGAAAGGTAAAACTGTAAAAAATAAAGGCAATGATTACCCCTCTACCACCATCCCCACCACTCCACCCTGGCAGAGTGTGAGCCAGAAAGACAGAAAGCTCAGAGAAAGAGCAGCTGAGTGGTTTAGGCGTGAGCCTTGCATTAGTCTGAGAGGTAATGCAGCAATCTGCAGAGTGGCGCTGCAGAAAGGCGCTCAGGGAAGATGGACGGCGGGGGGCAGGGTCTGGGGCCATTTTAGGTCATCACTGTACTGTCAGAGCCTAGTGCAGTGACTGGCACACAACAGCGAATCAATCGATATTTGTCAATAAAGGAACGAATGAATGAACAGATGAATGAATGATCAGACGAATGAATGAACGAATGAACGAATGAATGAATGAATAACTCAACTGTGCCATCTTGTGGAGACAGACACCTGCCATGACCACATCCCTCTCATCCGGCCTGCCCCCAGGGCAGGCATCCCCCCTCTGCCCTGGAGACTGGAGTTCTTCGGTTTTTACAGAATCCCTAGCCAGCAGCTGCAGCCCCCCCAGCTTCCGCTCCCATGGGGAGGCCAGCAGGGGGACAGGAAGCCAGCTTGCTATCTGCCTTGGGTTCTAGCTTAACCTTGAGCCTGGTGTAAAGGGCAAAGTGGCTCCCCAGTCCGCAGGCTCCCACCCGGCCGCCCCTCTGGGGTTCTCAGCTGGCCCAGCCTGCCTTCCCACTAGCCCTTACTTCTGCCAGGGCCTCAGCCTCCAGGGACTTGTGGTCCCCCAGGCTGCTGTGCCTGGTGGAGCCGCATGTTGACCTCATCGAGTGCCCTTCCGAGAGAGCCTTCTTGTCAGGGTAGTTGATGCTGCCGGCACTCCCAAATGTCGCCATCCTCCGCTTCTCAGGGCTCTCGATCCTCCCCCGGGTGAGGGGGATTTTGTGGGGGCTGCTGGGGCAGGCGGCGGCCCGGGGCGGCGTGTCTATGCTGGGGCCCAGGCCCCGGGGTGGGCTGTGGGTGTCGCCCCCGCTTCGGCGCCTGGGGATGGCCGCTCCGTCAGATCGTAACCGCACTCTGCAAAGGAGCCAGGGGGCGGGGGCATGGGGCAGAGGTCAACCCTGGCAAGTCTCAGAATGGATCAGCTAACCCCAGGCCACACACTACACACTAGTCTAAGAGACAGGTATAGTAAAGCCTCATTCAGCCAAACTCAATTGCTCAATGAAAGCACAGGCTGAGCATGTAACTCCATGGCAAGGGGCCGGTTTAATCTGCACACACGAAGGAATTGGAAGCATTCTGCTTTCCAAACTGCAGACGGTGGTGCTACTAATTACACAATGAATCTTGTCTACGTGTCAAGTCAAGGGTAGGAGAATTTCAACCTGGGAACGCTTTAGTGATGGTTAGTTGGGCTCATGATATGTTCTTATGTGGTTCAGGAATTTCCATGATTCTGAAGGGCTTCTTAATTGGTCTGAAGCATTGAGGCTTGACTGTACCAAAAAGTCACCAGCTCCCTGCAAGCACAGGAGGGAGTCCCGGGGAACTGGACACCATCCCATGTTGTCACCCACCCCCAATCTTCTCAGCAAAGGGCTATTTCTATGGGGCTTTTCCAGATCTTGGAAAACTAGTCATCAGGAGTAAAAACTGCATCACTCAACATGCCTTCCATGCATCTGGCCACCTTTCACTCTTTAGGGAGGCTCTGTCAGAGTGAAAAGGGGACTAGAGTATCTATTAGGAGGGCTGGCTTTCCTGTGTCCTCTTTCAGACCCATTTCTGGTAAGTGGGTATAATATTCCTTGCCCACTTTCCAGGGAGCTTTGGTGGGTGTGAAAGCACTCTGAAGATAAAAGGCTCCACCCGCAGGTGATTTTGCTACATCCTAGGGAGGTCAAGATTTGAAGGGAGGGGAGGCTGGAAGTGGCAAGGGGGTGGGAAGAAGGGGCAGACTGTTGGAACAGACTGTGACTGAAGGGCTAAGTTCAATGTGGTCAGCAGCACTTCAGATCCAAGAGCCACCAGCCAAGCTAAGCACCGCCTGTGGGTACCCCAACAGGACCAAAGCATAGGTGTTGGAGAGAAGGAAATATTGAGAAAGAAAAGAACCAGAATAAAGTACAGGAGGGAGGGAAGAGGGAGAGGAAGAGCAAGGCAGGAGAAGATATGGCCCTCCTAGGATTCAAGGAACCATGGCTTTGTCTTCTGTCTACCCCAGACTTCCATTTTGCCCCCAATTCCTTTACCTATCACACTGCCTGAGCCGTTAGCTGAACTGAACAGAATATACTGAAAGGAGGCACGGAAACTTCTGCCAAAGTAAATTCATAAACATATGTTCCTATTGCGACTCTATCTCTGGCTCTATCTCCAAGTACCCATATGTGGAAGCTGATCCCATGACCGCTCCGCCAAAAAAAACGAAGAATATGACATTTTGAGAATCTGATTAAGAAAGCAGCAAGAAACTGTCAACTTCTCTTTTCTTCTTTTTCTTAAATTTTTTTAACGACCACATTCTTTGGACCATACAGGCATGCAGAACGACAAGCACAGCTCCTTGCCTGGCAGAAAGGTCACATGACAGCCCAGCCCACACACCGGGAGGGAAGAAATTGGCAAATGTTCTCCCACCAAATCAGTGGGTGGAGTCGAGTGTCAATTTCCCCCCCCACAGGCGTGGGTGTGAGATTTCTGTGTGTGTAGTGCACTTCAGGGAGTAGTAAACCTTACATTTTTAAATATAACAACTTAGGTCTTCAACAGAAAATGGGGAGGAGGTATAAGAACTGGAGAGAGGTAGGAAAAATACTTGTCAGTTTATAACTCTCTCTTTCTCCCCATTTATTATTACTATTTTACATAAAAAGCATTGATTTGCCAATATTTGTCTTTTTTCCTTCTCCACACCTCAACTCCAAGCTGGACCCTTTTATGCCTGGCATTCTGGGGCCAGTTCCAGCCAGGAGCCCCCCATCCCCCAGTGTGTCTGATATCACATCCTGCAGGGAACAAGGGGCTACAATAGCCTCCCTCCCTCCCCTCTGCCCCCCTGTCTCTCCCAAATCAGACAGAGCTGGGCATGGCACTAGCAGGAAAAAAGGAATCCGCATTTCCTACCGGCCCATCACCCCCCCAAAGCCGTAATCCGAGATGTGCTCCGTGGGCGACTGGAGGTCGTTTTTGGAGGAGGCCTTGTCATCCAGCAGTGGCCCACTGCTGGCCTCGCTGTCAGCCTTCTGGCTCAGGCTGTCGGAGAAGGCATCATCCCTGGGGAGAAGGACAGATGTGAATCGGCAGTGCTTTGCTCCAGAGAGCCCTGGATGTGCAGGGCTCCTGGAGACCTGTCTGAAGGGTGGATCCACACACACCTTATGGTTAACTTATGCCCATCCTCGGGATGAGGCACTTCCCACTCTGCACCTTAGCATCACACACACGCCCACTGGCTCGCTCTCTCCTAAGTTACTGTCTCGGGTGGGAGACCAGCCCCCCCTCTGCCCCAGGCCTACCTTCTCCTCTCCCCTCCTCTAGGTTTTTCTCTCCCGGGCTGCTCCAAGCTAGGACAAGCTAAACGCTGGAGAGAGTGCTGGAGTAATGAGGGGAGGAGCCTAAAAGCTGAGCACTGAGAGCTGAGTCTCCATGCGGGGTCCTGAGAAGCAGTTTAGGGCTAAGCAAGGGAGGAAGAAAAATGCCTCCATCCCTCCCGACCCAGGGTTTTGGATAATTGTGAGGTGGCTGCCAAGGTTCCTCCACTGGCATTTCTCTTGTTGTCTGCCTGGCCTTGGCCTTTTCTCTGGTTTCACACCATCTCCTCTGCCATCAAAGCTTATGCTTTCCCTTGGGAGCCAGTATGGTGGTTGCTTCCTTGATAAATCAGTTCCACCTGAGCCTGACTCAGAAGGAGTGCGTGGCTTTCAAAGAAGAGAAGGTGTAGACTTTCTGGATCTTCGGGTAGGGCTAGGTATTTGGGATGCAGGCCTTTCTTTCTAAAAAAAAAAACAATATTAAAAAAAAATAACAGTATCCCGCTAACTGGAAATGAGGGGATGACTGTTTCTGTGCATCCTCTGAGCGAGCCACCTGGGGGATAGAGACTGGTGGGCAGTGAAGGGGACGGTGGGCTGGCCGCTGAGTATAGGGAAGGCCCAGGAGGGTAGAGGAATATGGCCAGATCCACTGGATGCTGAGAACCAGGGCAGGTGATGAATGCCAGGTGGATCAGGATGGTGAGTCAAAGGCACCAAATGCTACCTCTGTGTGCTCTAAAGGATGACCAGTTTGCTTATTTGTTAAGTGGATCACCATTTAAGGGGAAGTTAGATATAATCCATTCTTACAAAAGACCAAGCGTATCATACCAGTGAGAGCAAATGGTTCGCATATAGCCCAACACTCCTATTCCTGTGCCCATTCAAGACATCACTAATCGATTATGGCATTCTTCACAGAAGGTCTGGATTCCCACTCACATGTCCTGTACGACTATGTACTGATGTGGGATGAGTCCGTCCACACCATTGTGACGACCCTCCCACCAATCCTCTGAGGCGCGGTGGTACAGAAGCAGCGAGGCCCCCTTCTTGAAGGACAGCTCACGTGGGGACCGCCCCACATAGTCAAACTTGGCGATGGCCTCGATCTGCTCCACTTCTAGAAGGAAAGCAAGGGAAAGAACAGCCATGAAGTGAGTAGGATGGCAGCCAGGAGCCTTGCTCAGATGGCCTTGGCTTCCGCAGGGGCAGCACAGACAGCAGGCCGGTGGAAACAGGGTGGGCTGGGGGCTCAGGACACCAGGTTCTAGCTCAGATCTGTTCCCCATGCTGCGGCCTCAGGCAGGCCATCTAACTTCTGACATACCATATCCTTATTTTCCACTACCCCTCTTGTTTTCCACTTTCTAACACTAATTAAAATAATATCTTAAGAAATTTCTTTCTTCTACCTCTCGATACAAGTTCCATTTCTATTTGTCCATGAACTCTTTCTCTCTTTGTCTACCTGTAATACTTTTAGTGGTTCTTATCTTTTGGGTGTATGTGGACTCCCATCCATGCAAAGATGCTGTACACAATTTTTAAGGGCTTCCAGAACTCTTCAGAGCTCATTGTAATGGACTGTTATGGTGTCCCCCCACCCCCAAATCCATATCCTTAAGTCCTAACTCCCAATGTGATGGTATTTGGAGACGGGTGTTTAGGAGTAATTGAGGTTAAAGTGAGTAATTAGGATAGGGCCCTAATCTGATAGGACTGGGGTCCCTCTATGAAGAGGAAGAGATACAAGAGATCTCTCTTTTTCTCTGTGAATGTACACAGAGGAAAGGTCGTGTGAGGACACAGTGAGAAGGCAGCTTTCTACAAGCCAGGAGGAGACGCTTCACCAGAAACCAGCCCTGACAGCACCTTGATCTTGGACTTCTAGCCTCCAGAGCTATGAGGAAATAAATTTCTGTTGTTTAAGCCACCCAGTTCTGTTCTGGCAGCCTGAGCTGAATAACACATTCATCCATGGACTTAATGTGGGGGGAGAGAGAATTCTTACTGGGGTCACAACTCAAGCTTATCTCTTTGCACACACACATTTACCAATCAAACCTTTATTCTTCACTGGTTAGTGACAAGCCCTGACTGGATTAAGCAATGAGGCTAGGGCTCTTGCCCCTGAGGCACTCCTACAGCCCAGCTCCATCACCTCAGGCAGGTCACATAACCTTTGTACACCTCAGTTGATTTTGGAGGATTAAAAGATAATGCATGTGGGAAGACATCCAGATGGCCAATACACACATGAAAAAGTGCTCACTATCACTCATCATCAGGGAGATGCAAATCACAACCACCATGAGATAGCACCTCACACCTGTCAGAATGGCTACTATAAAACAACAACAACAAGAAATAACAGGAGTTGGTGAGGATGTAGAGAAAAGGGAACCCTCTTACACTGTTGGTGGGAATGCAAGCTGGTGCAGCCACTGTGGAAAACAGTATGGAGGTTCATCAAAAAATTAAAAATAGAACTACCTTATGGTTCAATAATTCCACTGCTGGGTATTTCTCCACAGGAAACAAAAACACTAACTTGAAAAGATAGATGGATAAATGGATGAAGAAAATGTATACAGATACAGTGTATACATGGTATATAGATACAGTGGAGTATTATTCAGCCATAAAAATGAAGGAAAATCTTCTATTTGAAGCAACATGGATGGACCTTGAGGGCATTATGCTAAGTGAAATAAGTCAGACAGAGAAAGACAAATACTGTATGATCTTGCTTATACGTGGAATCTAAAAACGAAAAGAAACCAAACTCTCAGATACAGAGAACAGACTGGTGGTTGCTAGAGGCAGGGGGTAAGGAGTGGGCAAAATGGGTAAAGGTGGTCAAAAGGCACAAACTTCCAGTTCTAAAATAAATATGTTCTGGTGATGGAATGTAGAGCATGATGACTATAGCTAGTAATACTGCATTGCATTGGAAGTTGCTAAGAGAGTAGATCTTAAAAGTTTTCATCACAAGAAAAGAAAATTTGTAACTATGAATGGTGACTACATGCAAACTTCAATGTATGGATGTATGTTACCTAGACTCACTGTGGTGATCACTTTGCAATACGAGTATCGAATTGTTATGTTATCCACCTGAAACTAACATTTTATATGTCAATTATATCTCAATTAAAAAAGAAATATACTAGACTTTAATAGATTTTTTAAAAGATTTATTAGAGAGAGAGAGAATGAGAGAGAGAGAGCGTGAGAGGGGAGAGGTCAGAGGGAGAAGCAGACTCCCTGCTGAGCAGGGAGCCCAAGGCAGGACTTGATCCTGGGACTCCAGGATCATGACCTGAGCCGAAAGCAGTTGTTTAACCAATTGAGCCACCCAGGCGCCCTAGACTTTAATAGATTTTTAAAGGCCATAATGTATGAAAGTCCTTAGCATAGTACAGATATACATGAGGTCTTCAGCTGATAGTAGTGCTCATGATTACGATTATTATTTCTAGTGGCTTTACCCTATGGGGTAGGTCCAGACAAGAAATCTAGGCAGGTCACATAACCTCTGTACACCTCGGTTGATTTTGGAGGATTAAAAGATAATGCATGTGGTTTTATTTATTTTAATTTATGTGGTTTTCCCAAGGCCATATACCTAGTGAGGTTTAGAAAGAGACTTTTTGGGGAGCAGGGATGAGCAATGCCTATGATTTATTTAATCTGTGTTAAGGCTGTACCCTAAGAGATGCCCATACTTGGTAGAAAACTGACTGTGGGGCGCCTGGGTGGCTCAGTTGGTTGGGCGACTGCCTTCGGCTCAGGTCACGATCCTGGAGTCCCGGGATCGAGTCCCGCATCGGGCTCCCTGCTCGGCGGGGAGTCTGCTTCTCCCTCTGACCCTCCCCCCTCTCATGTGCTTTCTCTTTCTCATTCTCTCTCTCTCAAATAAATAAATAAAATCTTTAAAAAAAAAAAAAGAAAACTGACTGTGAATATTAATGTATTTATACTTTAAAGCAAGCACAAAGATGTTCGACACTAGAAAAATACATATATTTATGTATATATTTACATATATAAAAATAATAAATGCATTGAATTCTAATAGAACAAAAGAGTAATGAAAATGACCCCTGCTCTCTCTAGCCTGCAGCTACCTTCCCTATGCTGACTCTCTATTGCTCCATTCTTTATGCATTATCTTGTATCTGTCCATCCAGCCATCAAGGAGTTGCTGCCTGGGTGTCTAGGTCCTGCCTTCCGCATCTCCAGAGCCTCCCACGGTCACTGGGGGTGGTCTGGAGTTGGGAGTGGGGGGATGAGGAGGGATGGGAAATGTAAGGGGAAGAAAAGAAGAAAAGAGGAGGAGCAGAGCTGAGCCGCAGGCTGAGAGATGGCACGTGTGATTGCAGACGCCATTACATAAGTATGTGTGGTAGAAAGAGTAATCGTAGCCACCATTTATTAGGAAGTCTCTTATTTGGGTTTATCATACCTGAAATAGAATATGTGATTCTCCCCCTTATCACTATCCCCCACACCCCTCCCCAAACTTACTTAATTCTTTCGTCTTCCCCATCTTAGGAAATAGAACCGTCTGCCCGCTTGCTCAGGCCAAAGCCTTCCTCTTGAGCATCACACATCTTTGCCATCAGCAAGTCCTCTGAAGTGTCCCTGAATCAGACCCATCTCACCACCTCCACCGCCACTGCCCTGGTCCAGACCGCCGCTGTCCCTCTACCAGGCCTCCCCCTTCCATGTGTGTTTGGTAGAGCCATTTCTCCTCAGGGCAGCCAGAGGGATCTTTTAAAATCATAATCAGATCATGCAACTCTCTTGTTGAAATCCCTCTGAAGGCTTCCCTCTGTGCTTGGGGCCAACCCCAAATGTCTTCTCACAGCTGCTGAGGTCCCTCTGTGCTCAGGGCTTTGCTCCCTACTGCTATCTCTCTCACTCAGTCCCTCCCTCACGGCCTCACTAGCCTTCTTAATGTTTCTCTTCCAACACTGTACTCTGACATTTTTCAAACACAGAAGTAAAGTTGAAAGTGAACATGCATATACCTGTCACCTAAATTCTACTGTTAACATTTTACTGTATTAGCTTTATCACATATCTATCCATCCATCTATCTATCCATCTTATTTTTTAGTGAATTTTAAAGTAAGTTGCAGACATCAGTACACTTTACGCCTAAACACTCTGACATAAATATTCATAGAGCCTTCTTGATGTTTTTAAAACATTCCAAACCTTTTCCTGCCACAGGACCTTTGCACTTATTATTGCCTCTCCCTGGGATACTGTTCTCCCAGATGTTTGCATTCATTCACATTCAACAAATATTTATTGACCCTTGTGTGCCATTTCCTAATTTCATTCAGGTCTGTACTCAAATGTCTTTGCCTCAGCAAGGCCAAAGGACTTGGCCACCCTTGATTACAAAAGTGCTGTCAAATCACTCTAACATTTTCTCTTGCTTTATTCTTCTTCATAGCACTTAGCACAACCTGAACTTGGGTGTGTGTGTGTGTGCATGTGTGTGTGTGCACTTATAGTTTGAAAACTTGTTTATTTTTTATCTTTCTTACTAAAATGTGAGGTCCATTAGGACAGGGATTTTTGTTTTATAATCTACTATTTTCCCCCTTCTAGAACAGTTGCTGGGATGAGTTGGCACTCCATATTATTTGCATGAACAAATTAGGCTTTACTATGTGTTAAGTGTTCTACTTATATTATCACATTTAATCCTCACAACAACACGTGTAGCACTATCTTCATTTTACAGATGAGGAAACTGAGGCTGAGTTGAAATGATGTATCACACATGGATCAGAAGACTTAACACGTTAAGATGGCAATACTCCCAAATTGATCTACACATTCAGCACAATCCCTATTAGAATGCTAGCTGACTTCTGTAGAAACTGACAAGCTGACTCTAAAATTCATATGGAATTGCAAAGAACCCATAATAGCAAAAAAAAAAAAAAATCTTGAAAAAGAAGAACAAAATTAGAGGACTCACACTTCCTGATTTCAAACTTACTACAAAGCAACAGTAATCAAGACAGTGTGGTGCTGGCACAAGGTCAGACATATAGTTCAGTGGAATAGAACTGAAAGTCCAGAAATAACCCCCTACATCTATGGTCAACTGATTTTTTATAAGGGAGCCAAGATCATTCAATGAGGGAAAGAATAATCTTTCCAACTAATGATGGTGGGATGACTGGATAGCCACACACAAAGAAGGAAGGGAGTTGGACCCTTACCTCACACCATATACAAAAATTAACTTAAAATGGACTGCC